CAGTAAAGTCAAAGTCTAAATGATAAAACTGTGTTAAAAATGAAATTCTTGTTCAACTCAGAGGGTTTTATGTCTTCATTTTCCTGAGTAACGTCTTTGTGTTTGTCCCTCCTGTCTCTGTGTCCTCAGCTGTCCCTTCCTGGCGTCCCACCTGACTCCGGCCATCCCGGTGGTCGGCGCCGTGCTCTTCGTCTTCGTCATGGGGATGCTGTTCAGGGCGAGCTTCAGCGACCCCGGCGTCCTGCCGCGGGCCACACCGGACGAGGCCGCCGACCTGGAGAGGCAGATTGGTAACCATCTGTTTTTGTTTTTTTTTTTATTATTATTGGTTTGTTTTTTTACATAAAGAAGGACCGGTTCTGATCGAGTTATCTTCTATTGATGGAAAATAAGATTTTAGCTCCAACAAGGCAACTCCTCAGAAAACCTGAGGTATTTTTAACCATTATCTTTTAATTGCTTCTATCTTTGAGGGTCATGGGGGTCCTTGGTGCCCATATCCAACCGTCACTGTGCATGGGGTGGGGAGAGTTAAAATTATAAATATATATTTTATTTACTTATTTACTAAAATCTTGTCCCCCATCTCCATCATCCACATCTCCTGTCTTTAGTGTTCTCTGGCAGCCACTCCTCATCACTGCTGTCACTATCATCATCAGAGGGAATTTCCTTGACTATTCTATAATGTTCCTTATTTTTTGCCGCACTTGTGGTCTAAAAATATGAGAAAATTATAATTTTACTAACCCAAACTACAACTGATCTGCACAAAAATGATCTAATTTTAAAACTAACTTATAGATGCACCCAAAATTAATTTAATTGCAAGAAAAACAGTCATAATGAAAGATGTACCAACTACATGACTTATGTTAAAAATATAGTCAGCAATGCATGACGTCCACTGTGGAGGACACATGATTAATCGTAATTTCCTACTTATTTGAAATAAAAATTTCCAAACTAAACTAGTAATATTGTTACTTAGATACTCCTGCATATCAGCATATTTTTTACTTCTAGGATTCTCCTACAATAGAAGGTTTGACAGGATATTGCAGGAGATGTATCTTGGATCTGGCAGCCATCTTGGATTCTGATGATGTTCACTTGTAGTTACAACAACTAACCACTGAATGGAGGGGAGCAGTAGAGAGCATTCTAAGGTCTGAAACCACTGCATTAAGGAAACATTGACTTTTAAACAGCTGTCCACTTTAGTGACCACTGTGCACCAGAGGTTTTCACTGACAGAGTCGACTTGAATGTTCAAATTTAAACAGATCTGTTGGAGGATGTGTTGTGGACGACTCTCAGCTACTACCACACCAGATATTAACTTAATAGATGTCAAACTGGCTGAATTATTGTCATTTTACTGTGTGTTTCTGTTAATTATCTGTGGCAGCCATCTTGAGTCAGGTTGGCTCCTGTAATAATAATGAGCAGAGGATGAAGACTTTTGCACAGAGCGGTGTGTCTCTTTGAGCAGATGGAATCATCTGACTGGTTTCCTGCTGCAGTTTCAGGTTGTCTCTTCCTGTCAGAAACTCAGATCTATTTCTGGAAACCTGTCAGGATGTTTTCTCCTTTGTTTATTTCACGGAGCTGAGTGACATCACCGAGCTGTCAATCATCTGCTCTTCGAGGCGCAGAGAGACACGCCGTTCAGGTTTCAAACGCCGGTTTCTTATAAATCTGGAGGAGGAACTGAAACAAATCCTGCAGTTAGATATTTTAACTGATGTTTGATTTATTGAATCAAGTATTTACAGGAAAATCTTCTGAAATCCACCTGAACACCGTTAGATCATGTTCACCCTGCAGGGCTTAAAGTTCCTGTGACATCAAATTTTTTAATACACATGAATGTATTTTTGGAAAGATAACATTGATAACATATTGAAAAATAAATTTCACACTGCTGAGATGAACAGTTGTTGAGATATTCACATGTGAAGAAACAGGAAGTGATGTCAAAGGGGAATGTCTTCATGTAAACAAAGCACTGCTACAATAACATCAACACAGACTGTAGAGAAGAATCTGATGTTTGTTTATTTAGAGTCTATCAGAAGCTGCGTTTCCAGTGACCATGAAAATGCGCAAATTAGAATTTCAAAAATAAATTTGCTCAATGGAAACACGTCAGTTTTGAAAAGAAAATTACGTTTTTCGACAAAATGTTGTTGCGCTAGGATGAGGTTGTTTTTCGGCCGTATCGAAATTGGTGTTTTTCGCAAAACTGCAATGGAAACACTTTTTTTCACATCACAGGAGTCACGTGATCAACAACCGGCTGTTTCTTTTGGCAAAAAAGACGATGAAGAAGATAACAGGAAGTAGAAGTCGTAGTAAAAGAAAGTAGTAAACTCACCGACTACAACTTCCTAAAAACACAGCATACGTAGCCGCACCCAAGTAGGGACTTGTCTCTGGAAAGCCTAGATAAAAGACGCCGACGTCTCCTCTGATGATGAGCGCTAGTGTCGCAGTAGCAACATGCCATTTGTTTACATTCATCGCCGCCATGTTTGTAATGACTTATCACGAGAACAAACATATTCACGCGTGACTTTAATAGCATTTCTTACTTCATGGAAACACTGCAGTTGCGAAACTGTGTTTTTCGACATTAACAGAATATCGACAAAGTTTTGCGCACATTTGCGATGGAAACGCAGCTACTGACATGTAGAGTCGAGATCAAATAATGTTTTTAAAAAAAATACCTTTTCTTAAAGAGTTCCCCTTTGATGTCACTTCCTGTTTCCTGTTCCAAGTTCAAAAGAAAATCTGTCAGTTATGAGACAAAGTAAGTAAAAGCATGTGTTTTATGTTGTGTTTCCTAAATATAAAGATGTTTTCTTTGACTTATTGTATTTAAAGGACATGCACATCAGGGGAACTGTAAAATTCAGATTTGAGGTGTAACATGTTAGCATGTTAGCATGTCTGGATTGATTCTGAAGTTGTCCAGTCAGAGCTGATAAAATTATAATTATGTTTTTGTATAATCCAAATGTGAAACAGCTTAAACTAAAATGATTGTAAATCTGATGTGGTAGTAGCTGAGAGTCATCTCCAACTCACACTTTTCTTTGTTAACCTGTAAAAACTTGTCTAACGTTGTTATTTTTAATAATAAAAGCTGTGCTGTTTTCAGACTCGGGCTGTTCGAAGCCCCCCCCTCGCATCAGAGAGGTTCTGATCAACGGACAGACGGTGAAACTGAAATACTGCTTCACCTGTAAGATCTTCAGACCGCCGCGAGCCTCGCACTGCAGCCTCTGTGACAACTGTGTGGGTCAGTGTGCTTCACTTCCTGCCATCAGCCGAGATTACAGCTGTCCCACAAATGATTCCAGCTTCACTGAATGTTTCAGCTGTTTTCTCTGAGACTCAGTTTCAGCTGTTTTCCTCCGAGACTCAGTTTCAGCTGTTTCAGCCTCAGTTTCAGCTGTTTTCTCTGAGCCTCAGCTTCAGCTGTTTCATCTGAGCCTCGGTTTCAGCTGTTTTTCTCTCAGTTTCAGCTGTTTTCCTCTCAGCCTCTGTTTCCTCAGCCATGACTTTAAAGTTTCAGCCATGACTTTAAAGTTTCAGCCATGACTTTAAAGTTTCAGCCATGACTTTAAATATTTTCAGCTAAAATCCAGCTTGTTTGAAGCTTTCTTCTCCTCCTCAGAGCGGTTCGACCATCACTGCCCCTGGGTGGGAAACTGCGTTGGACGGAGGAACTACCGCTTCTTTTACCTCTTCATCCTCTCCCTGTCCTTCCTCACCATCTTCATCTTTGCCTTCGTCATCACACACGTCATCCTCAGTGAGTAGCTGTGCCGCCTCCTCTTCCTCCTCACACTGTGATTCATGGACCCTCTCTGGATTCACAGTTTTTAATCTTTGGTTTCTTGTGCAGAAAAATCTGATATTTAATGTATCAAAGGTCGAATGAATCAGAAGTCGAATGACTCGGATGTTGAATGACTCGAAAGTTGAATGAATGAATGAATGAAAAGTTGAATGAATGAATGAATGAATGAAAAGTTGAATGAATGAAAAGTTGAATGAATGAATGAATGAATGAAAAGTTGAATGAATGAATGAATGAATGAATGAATGAATGAATGAATGAATGAATGAATGAATGAATGAATGAATGAAAAGTTGAATGACTCGGAAGTTGAATGATGAAAAGTTGAATGAATGAAAAGTTGAATGAATGAAAAGTTGAATGAATGAATGAATGAATGAATGAAAAGTTGAATGAATGAAAAGTTGAATGAATGAATGAATGAATGAATGAAAAGTTGAATGAATGAAAAGTTGAATGAATGAAAAGTTGAATGAATGAATGAATGAATGAATGAATGAATGAATGAATGAATGAATGAATGAAAAGTTGAATGACTCGGAAGTTGAATGAATGAAAAGTTGAATGAATCGGAAGTTGAATGAATGAAAAGTTGAATGATTTGGAAGTTGAATGAATCGGAAGTTGAATGAATGAAAAGTTGAATGAATCGAAAGTTGAATGAATCAGAAGTTAATTTTCTGTTTTAACTTTAGCTGATCTTTAAAGTAACAAATGAGTCAGGTTTGGATTTAAAGACTCACTTGTTTCTAAACTTTAATGATTCTGTTTCCTGTCTGCAGGATCAAACCGAGCTGGTTTCCTGAGCGCGCTGAAAGACAGTCCTGCCAGATATCCTTCAGCTGATGTAGAACCGATGCATTCTGTGGGTCTGTTAGCAAAATATCTATTGAACTAGAGTGCAGAATCTTATATGAACATCAACAAATTGACCTGATTCAAAATGGCTGCCACAACTAAGTGACATCAGCAGACATGAAACATAAAAACAACTGATCAGTTTGCAAACATGCAGCTATAAGCTGGTTTGGTAGTAGCTGACAGTCATCCTGACACGGTCTGAAGACTCACAGGTCTGAGGTCTCACAGGTCTGAAGACTCACAGGTCTGAGGACTCACAGGTCTGAGGACTCACAGGTCTGAGGACTCACAGGGACTAACAGGTCGCCTCAAATCCTTTGTACTAAAGGTTTTAAAATAAGTTCAGAGCTGAGAGAAAAAACATACAATAATAACCCTTCATACACACATAAACACACACACACACATACTATATAAACACACACATACACATACTGTATAAACATACACACATACTGTATAAACATACACACATACTGTATAAACACACACACATATATTGTATAAACACACACACACATATACTGTATAAACACAAACATACATTAACACACATACACATACTGTATAAACAGACACACACACACACACACACACACTGTATAAACACACACACACACACTGTGTAAACACACACTGTATAAACACACACACACACACACACACACACACACACTGTATAAACAGACACACACACACACACTGTATAAACAGACACACACACACACACACACACACACACACACTGTATAAACAGACACACACACACTGTATAAACAGACACACACACACACACTCTGTATAAACACACACACACACACTGTATAAACACACACACTGTATAAACACACACACACACTCTGTATAAACACACACACTGTATAAACACACGCACACCCCTCCCTCTCTGCAGTGTGTTTCTGATAAATCGATCTTTCTGATTCGCTCTCCATCTACGGATCAATAAGTCCTCTGAGTCCTGCCAAGGTCAGACCAGTTTTGACCCAAATACCAGCAGAAACAATGGGGACCAGTTCCTGGTTCTGACCCGTCAGGTTTTGTTGTGTGACTGAGTCCTTGACATGGTCCTGCACCGTTCTGGAGGTGGTGGTTTGTTTCTTCTCGGTCTGGTCCATCGCTGGTCTGTCAGGGTTCCACACCTACCTGATCAGCTCCAACCAGACCACCAACGAGGACGTGAGTACCCCAAAAACCCAACAGAACCCAAATCCTGCCGGGTCCCTCAGAGTTCTGTGAACCTGATCCTGATGTCTCGGTCCAGATCAAAGGAACCTGGTCCACCAAGCGGGGCAAGGAGAACTACAACCCCTACAGCTACGGGAACATCTTGACCAACTGCTGCGCCGCGCTGTGTGGACCCCTACCCCCCAGGTCTGTACCCCCCACAGCACTGAGACCAGGACTGGGACCAGGACTGAGACTTTGGACCACAGTTGAGACAAAAGTCAAGAATAAAAACCAGACCAAAGTTAAACTGGTCCTGTTTGTTTGTTTGTTGTTTAGATGATTATTTGTTTGGTTGTTTGTTTGTTTTTTGACTGAACCCAGTGAGGTTCTGGACTGTGGTTCTGCTGTAAAAAGACTCGTCTGTAACTTTGTGTCCCAGTTTGATTGACAGGAGGGGTCTGATCCGAGCCGACACCCCACAGCTGGTCCCCCAGTCCAACGAGACCGGATCCAGTCTCTACACCTCGACTCAGCTCCACAGTCACATGGTGGGTGGACCAGGACCCAGTTGGTCCACACGGACCCCCAGAACCTGCAGACAGATTCTTGTTGTTGTTGGTGGTGTTGTTTTGTTTGTTGTTGTTGTTTGTTGTTGTTGTTGTTGATGATTGTGTTGTTTTTGTTTGTTGATTTTGTTGTTGTTTTTGTTTGTTGTTGTTTGTTGTTGTTTTGTTTGTTGATGTTTTGCTTTTGTTGTTTGTTGTTTGTTTGTTGTTATTTTGTTTGATGTTTTTGTTTGTTATTTCGTTTGTTGTTGTTGTTTGTTGTTATTTTGTTTGTTGTTATTTCGTTTGTTGTTTTTGTTTGTTGTTGTTTTTGTTTGTTATTATTTCGTTTGTTGTTGTTTTGTTTATTGAATTTGCTTTTGTTGTTTGTTTGTGTGTTGTTGTTGTTGTTTGTTGTTATTTCATTTGTTGTTATTTCGTTTGTTGTTGTTGTTTGTTGTTATTTCGTTTGTTGTTATTTCATTTGTTGTTGTTTTTGTTTATTTCGTTTGTTATTTTTGTTGTTATTTCGTTTGTTGTTGTTTTTGTTTGTTTTTATTTCATTTGTTGTTGTTTTGTTCATTGATTTTTGCTTTTGTTGTTTGTTTGTGTGTTGTTCTTGTTATTTGTTGTTATTTCGTTTTTGTTTGTTTGTTTTTTGTTTTGTTTGTTTGTTGTTGTTGACATGTTGTCCTCTCCGCAGTGCGATCAGGATCAGTGCATCCAGAGCACTAAGTTGGTCCTGCAGGCCGCGGCCACACCGCTGCTGCACAGCGACCCGGTGGTCCTGGCCCCGCTGCCAGGTAAGACTACCACACCTGGGGGTCCCTGCCCATACCTGGCCCCCGCGCAGCCGTCCCTGCCGTCCTGCGCCGGAGACGTCCTGACCCTGAGGGACGCCGCCGTGGACTCCCACTGCCACCATCACCTCCACCTGCACCACCACCACCACCATCATCTTCATCACTTCGTCAGCCCGGAGGAGACGCCCTGCGGCACGCCGCAGGGTGCCCTGCCGTGCCCCGCCCACCTGCACCTGCAGACCCCGCCCCTCCTGTACGACCCCGTCACTCAGGACGCCCTGCACGAGGACTCTGTCCGAGGTCTGGTGAAGCTCAGCTCCGTCTGAACGGCGAAGGATCAGGATCAGATCTGGACTGAAAAATGTCCTCCTGTCGGCTCAACGACACCATGTCCCCTGAGTGTCCCCTGAGTGTCCTCTGAGTGTCCTCTGAGTGTCCTCTGAGTGTCCTCTGAATGTCCTCTGAGTGTCCTCTGAGTGTCCTCAGACACCACAGAGACAAAAACTTTGAGTTTAAGTTGTAAACCTGGACTGTAAATGTGTCTGTGGAAAGATGTCAAACACAATAAACACAACAGGACTTTCACTCCCTGCGGGCCCACCTCCTGCAGGAGGGACCACATGGGTCGGGTCCATGGCACCGTGGCTGGAGGCGGGGACTGTGGCACTCAGACCCTGGTTTTTGGGACACAAAGTGTCTCCTCTCTCTGTACAAACAGGACCAGAGGGGTTGATTTTACTAACAGGAAGTTGTTCTTCAGGACTCTTTATCCAGAGGAACCAGCTGAGGACGTCCTCCTTCTGAGGATGTGGGCGGAGTTCTGAGGAGGAGACCTCAGGGCAGACCCCCAGTTCTGGCAACACAGAGTCCTCCCAGAGGAGCGAGATGATCCGTCCTCGTCTTGTTCCTAACCTTCAACCCAAACTCTAAACAGCTGCCAGAATCAAACCCACAACCAGCTGCTGCTCTGAATGTCTGAACCTTCAGAGAACTTTACTGAACTAATGTTTCCTTCTCACTGCCTGGAGATCAAAGGATCTTCTGTTTACACTTTCACCGTTTCTGTGCCTGACAGCTCTGACTGGTCTGAAACATTTCCTCACGTTTCTTCACGATTCATGACATCAGAACCAAAGCTGGACCCTCCTCGTGTTCCTCAGTGATGAAGATAAACTGCTGATTGAATCCAGAACCAACGTTTTGTCTTCAGCTGCACAAAAACCAACCCCTGACCTGATTGACACTGCCACGCCTCCAGCTTTAAAAACCACAAAAACAGTTTTTATAACGAGTCCAGTTTTTACAAAACAATCTGGAAGAATGATCGGAAACATTTTATTCAGTTTGTATTTGAATGTTTTTACTGTTCAACATAAAGGGTCCCCTAAAAAAACATTTTCTGAAAGGGTTTTTCTGTTTTTGTAAAATAAACGTTTTGATTTCATGTCTTTCTTGGAACTAAAAGAATGTGGACTTTTTTCACTGTTATTGTAGTTTAATAAAAAATAAAAAATCTAAAAAAATTAATTAACTTAGTAAAACATTTCCAGCCTGTGAAAAGTGTCACACATTAACTGCGTTTTCGATAATTCCGCCGATTTATAACATCAATTTAATGTTACGTTGAGTCTAAATTTATAGTTTTATATATTTGAGTTATATGATTATAATAAATATAACACATTTTATATAATATATACAGTATAATGAGATAGTTATGGAAGCCCATTTCGGCCACCCTGATAAAAAAATAAATAAAACTTGTATCTCATAATTATGAGATTGCTAAGTCATAATTATGAGATACTATCTCATAATTATGAGATACTATCTCATAATTATGAGATAGTATCTCATAATTATGACTTAGCTATCTCATAATTATGACTTAGCTATCTCATAATTATGAGATAGTATCTCATAATTATGACTTAGTATCTCATAATTATGAGATAGCTAAGTCATAATTATGACTTAGTATCTCATAATTATGAGATAGTATCTCATAATAATGAGACAGCTAGGTCATAATAATGAGATAGTATCTCATAATTATGACTCAGCTATCTCATTATTATGAGATAGTATCTCACAATTATGAGATACTATACAAGTTTTATTTTTTTATCAGGGTGGCGGAAATGGGCTTCCATGGAGAGTAAAAGGTATACAAAATGTTAAATAAATTTAGGCTACACCTCTGACTTTTCTTCCTGTTTATGGCTTTATAAAATAATTGTATTTACTATTATTAAAATCTAAAATAACTAAACTAGAGAAATATTCAGGCAGAAGTAGGAAAATTCGATGAATCGTTTCGTTTTCAGTGTTTTTATTTTTTTAATAGCTCCTCCCGACCACCAGGGGCGTTGCTGCTGCTTTGACCTCTGAACCGGAAGTAGTCGCCCGGGGGAAGCGGTCCTTTTAAAAACAGCTGAATTTTAGAGGGAAAATTTCTGCTTCAGGTAAAAACAAATAACTACGACTTAACAAAGAGATTAAACAAATATAGTTAATCGGAAACACAAACTGTAAGAAAATGTTTTCATAAACCCGGAGGTTCTGTTAACATTAACTTGAAATGTTCTTGTTCTTTTATTGTCGGACTTCAGGTTATTTATTATTCTCCTGTAAACCCGATACTTTCAGCTTCGATAAAACACATAAAGACGGATTATTCTGCGTGTTGATATTTTTCACTTTAAAATCAGTTTTGGCGCTAATAAGAGAGTTTGACAACGCCTACGATGACGATAAACAAAAGGAAAAGCGCGGCAGTCCCTAACAGAGACACCAATAAACTTTAAAAACACACCTGACGTTCATTAAAGGTAATTTAATAGAAGTTAGGAGACATTTTTGTGTTGATTATATGACAACAGATTTATAATACAGAGAAACCAACATTCAGGCAGATACTTTACGACTGTTTTCTGTGCAAATATAAAGAAAACATTCAATAAAATGTGTTACAAGTTACTTTAACTATGTTGTATTTCAATAAACGTTAAATAATTCAACAGTAATCTCATGTTAAGTTTTGATCAGATAAATTATCAGACATGAATTGTCATTATTTTAGTTGTATATTTTATTTTAACCCTGAAGTGATTTTTATTCTGTCGGATAAAGGTTTATGTTTAAACCTGTAAATGTTTCATAAATTATTGTTTTTATAGTTTTATAAGTGTCTTTGTTAAAGGTTTTGTGTAATTCAAGTATTTCGAAGTTCCCGCGGCATCCATGTGGTCACGTGAGCGCTCTGATTGGCTCAGCCGCGCTCTGCGCTTCGCGAGCCCCGCTCCCATTGGTCAGCTCGGCTTCGCGCCTCTGTGTCTATATAAAGAGTCCCGCAGAGCGGCTGCTTCACTCCGTCTTTGTCTCTGCTGTAGTTTAGCTCCGTGTGCCTTTAGCTTTAGTTTAATTTAAATTAATTTAATCTGTCAGGATGATGTCCGCGCGTTCCCCGCTCTCTGTGAAGAACGACAACATCCTGAGCGACAAGATGAGCGACGTGTCGCTGAAGGAGAACACGGTGAGCGAAAGGGTTAATAATCTGATCTATTTATTTATTTATTCATTCAACCTGTCAGCGAGCCGTGAAGCTCACCGACCCCCTCTGTCTCCCCACAGCCGCCGGGGCTGAACAGCAGCCGGATCCTGGCCTCCAAAACCGCGCGGAAGATCTTCAGCGAAGTGTCGGTGAGCGAGCTTTTCTTCATTTGAGCTGACTAAAATAATAATAAATAAAATACAGAATACAAACAGCTGAAGGAGGTGGGCTGTTTTTGGCGCCAAACAGTCATGTAATCAATGACAATAAGTGACAGGTTTATTGTGTGTTTGTCACAACTCAATTAAAAACGCAACACTAAAGTAGAATGCTAAAAAAAAGTCATAATGATAATAAGAACAAGAGACAGATGAGGTCAAGTATCTTGGCCATTATCTTACCAATGATCTCTGTGACAATAGTGGTATGTATGGACAGGCAAATGTTCTCATTCGTAAGTTTCACGTGTTCTTTTTTTTTTATAGAAAATAGAGACAGAGAGAAGTAATTAGAGAGAATTAGAAAGATTGAAATAGTGATTAGAAGTATATTAAATATACACCAACAAAACACAGGACCACACACCCAAAATCTGTCTCCGCTCACCTGAAAAATAAATGGATAAATACATGGAGGGCATATATAAAAATACACACATACCCATACATATATAAAGATATACATACATACATGCCTACACTCATAAATATTGTCCGTATATACACACAGACATATATACACACTCAGTGACCTGTCAGAACCCCCGGATCAGAGCACCTGTCTGTGAGCAGTTGTGAACATGCGTGTATATACAAGATTTCTCCAATGGAATATTTAATAGTGACTGTGGAGGACCGAGACCCAACCCCCAAGACACGAGGCAGACATAGGGAAGACCAGAGCCCAAGGGCCCCCAGATCAGACCATAGGGGAGAACTGGGAGAGTTCCCCGCAGCCGCACACCCCACCGGGGGGCCGAGTAGCAGCGGGCCCCCAGATAAACCAGCAGGAGGGTCAGCCCAGACCGCAGCCTGACAAATACCCAAACATACACAATCGCACCATCCCACCCTCATCCTCACCCCCACTCAGTCAAAGACATGCAAGGACGCCACATTCCACTCATACCCCCAATACACACTCTATACCCCCCAGGTCCAGGACATGCACCCACCACCTAATGGAGGCCGCACACACCCGAACCCAGGAGGTAGACCCAATCATTCTGAGGTGGAGAGGAGCAGATAGTTTCACGTGTTCTAATAATGTTACAATTGTATTGTTTAAGACTTTCTGTACATCTTTGTATACAGCGCATCTTTAGCATAGCTATACAGCGAGCAGTATGCAGAAATTGACTGGCATATAATGACTCTTTGAGAATGTTATTGAGGCTTCAGCGGCACATTAGTGCACGTGAGATGTTTGCTAATTGTGTTAGATCTTGTGCAGCTGTTCTTAGGCACTGTATCCACTCATTTATGTGTAGAGTTCAGGATCAGCAGAATGGTATTTTTACAAGCTCTGGTCTGCCCTAGAAACAGCTGTTAGGTATACATCAAAAATATGGAGACATTGGCGTAACTGTTTACCCAGTATGTGTAAATAATTTGTCGTATTTTTTATATTGTATATTTTTTATATACTTGGCTTTTATTTTTTATTTATTTTTTCTCTTCTTTTTTTATATGGACCAGAATATGTACCAGAATCAAGCTTGACTTGACTAAAAAGATAATTAATGTGATCCAGCACATCAGGGGTTAATTCAGTTCTGTGGGTTTAAATGTCATGTGATGTTTTCCAAGCTTCTGATTGGTTGAACCTGTGTTCTTTAAAGGGCACTTCCTGCAGTTTTTATTTGTAATGAATTTTAAGATAAAAATAACCTCATTGTGGTTTTTGTCATTTTGAATTGTAAATAAAGTTTTACAGAACCACGGGATGACACGATTTGCTGTTTTCCAGAATAAACCCGTGAAGGAGAGCAGAGAGGAGGAGCCGCTGCTGAAGGACAACCCTCGTCGCTTCGTCATCTTCCCCATCCAGTACCACGACATCTGGCAGATGTACAAGAAGGCCGAGGCCTCCTTCTGGACGGCGGAGGAGGTGAGGGGGCGGTGCTATTAGAACCCCCTGATGATGATGATGATGATGATGATTTCATGTTAACGAGCCTGGTCTCTTCAGGTGGACCTGTCCAAGGACCTGCAGCACTGGGAGTCCCTGAAGGAAGAAGAGCGCTACTTCATCTCCCACGTGTTGGCCTTCTTCGCCGCCAGCGACGGTATCGTCAATGAGAACCTGGTGAGGAGCCTGCTGCTGGTCTGTTGCTTCAGGTTTGACTCGTCGTCTCACCTTGTTCTTCTCGTGTCCACCAGGTGGAGCGCTTCACACAGGAAGTCCAGGTGACTGAGGCCAGGTGTTTCTACGGCTTCCAGATCGCCATGGAGAACATCCACTCTGAGATGTACAGCCTGCTGATCGACACCTACATCAAGGAGCCCACAGAGAGGTGAGCTGCTGGTAGGGCTGCAGCTAACGATTATTTTAGTAATCGATTATTCTGACGATTAATCGAGTAATCGGATATAAAAAAACTGTCACGTTCTTCAGTACGTATTTAAGTAAATCCTGCCGACAACGCCAAAAACTGTCGTGGCATGATTTACCGAGAATGCAGAAACACGTTGGAATAAATGCACAGAAAGTCCGCGTGTATGGTCGTCAAGTGATTTTAATTCTGAGCAACAACACAGCAGACGTGGGCCTGTCACGATAAATTTTGCTGGGCGATTAATTGTCTCACAAATTATTGCGATAAGCGATAATATTGCCTGGTGACCATTTTACAACTAATAATTATAAAATCGTAATATGTAAGTGTAATTAATCAATAAACTTTAATTTTTAAAGAATGTTTAACAAAGTGGACTCTCGGTCTCTAACAAAAAATGCACTTGAATAAAATTTAAAAAACAAAGAACAACAATGTAAATTAAAAACCACGCACAACAGTAAATAAACAATATTAAAGAGCAGCATCTCTTTAGAGATGAAGCAGACTACACAGCCTGGTGAGGACCCACTGTTTCTTATGGGGACATAAGCCCAGTTCACATCC